AGTGTAGTGTAGTAGTGTAGTGTGTGTAGTGTGAGTACGTAGTGTGTGTGTGTGTGTGTGTGTGTGTGTGTGTGTGTGTGTGTGTGTGTGTGTGTGTGTGTGTGTGTGTGTGTGTGTGTGTGTGTGTGTGTGTGTGTGTGTGTGTGTGTGTGTGTGTGTGTGTGTGTGTGTGTGTGTGAGAAAGAGAGAGACAGGAGAAACAAAGTGTGCATATGTATTATATATTCAACTGCAGCACTTTCTTTACTCTCCCATCATGCTGAAACTTGATTTGATCATAAATTGCCACCTATGTTCATGATCATCAAGAACCAATCACTCATTTAGCTGAGATGGGGGGCATTTTATTATTAATTAACTTCTTCTCGAAAAGGGGCGTTTTAATAGTGCAGGCAAAAAACAGGCATAAGAAAGGCATCCATTATTCATTACTGCACCGAACTAGAAGCATTACCATGTACCAAAATGAGAAAGGCCTGATAATGACTCATAAAGGGGGGAAAATTAAAGGCGTTCCAATATAGAAAGGCAGGCCCCATATCCCTCAATACTTTTGTGATCTTCATTAGCGCACGATGTTCCCAGCAACGTGGAGAAGTGAAGAAGTAGGGGTGATTACAGCAGGGCGGGACAAGGGTTTTACTTAGCTGGTATCAAAGGGAGTTACCGTAATATTTCAGGACAAAGAAGCCGCTGGTGCTGAAGTCGCTGTGGAATTTGATGAGGACCTGATTGGCGGTGGTGGACACGCCCTCCTGCACTGAGTTGCCGCTGAACTGACCGATTTGAGGCGATGCCTGGTCGGGTCCATCCCTATATCAGAGAGGGGGAGGGGGAAATATATGAAAGATTGAAGGGAGGATGAGGACAGAGAAGCAATCTTGTGGACTTTGTTTTTAAAACCTGAGAAAAAGTTTCACTTTAATCAACAGCGTCAAAACACGTTCAGTATGAGTAACCTGATGATGTTGTATACAGTAGTGCTAAAACTTGTTGCCTCCGTCAGCTCCGCCAGTTTTTTTTTGTGAGGGGGGGTTAATGATTAATAATTTGCATTAATGTACAAAATCAGCAACAGCTTTTGTGACATCTTCGTTCCCTGCAAAACACTTTGTGTCGAGGCAGTTAATATTCTGTTCGTGAACATAATGAGTGTGTATTGTTATCACCAGGCTTCAGCTCCTGCGACCCTGGATGGAATTAAGTCTTCAGTTAATGTATGGATGGTTATCACAACATCCTAAATCCCTTAGCCTAATAACGTGATGTATAAGGAACTCTTGCCCTGGGAATCAAAAATTAATTGAATTGTAATGACCTCTTTGATTTTCACTCTTTATGGAGAGTAGGTTATTATCTGCGAAGGGTGAATATATCTATGGGAATGCACTCATTACTGTAGCTACAGTACATGTCAGCCTTATTCAGGTTCAATTATAACTGAATTTCACTAAACTTCAAAGAACAATCAATGTGTGGCAAAGACGTGACAATACTGATATGTTTTATTGATGGAAATACGTCTTAAACTCTTTGAGGCACCAATAAATTACAAAACTAATAAGAGGCTGAGGCATTAGCAGTCACTGAAATAGTTACTGGCATGCTGCCATTGGTGGATGATACCCTGAGATGCTGAAGGCTCTGAATGTTGTCAGCCTGCTGAGTCTGGCCGATCTCTTGGACACCATCCACATTTGGCAGTTGTGAGGCAGCCCCAACTGAAAGAGTTTAAGTGTCTATGGGCCTTGTTCCCAAATGAGGGTACAATGTAGTGTGAAATTGCCAAGTGGCATAGCACTGAAATGTCATGTTGAAAATGGAGCAAAGCCTGAAGGTGAAGTTCTCAATTTACGGATACAAAGAGTTGAAATGAGCTGCCTGTGCAGGTTTGGGTCATAGAGTGAGAAGCAGGATATTTGGGAGGAGCTCGGAGTAAAACTGCTGCTGTACTACTCCTCCTGAAAAGAGCCAGTAGAGATAGTTCAGACATCTAATGAGGATGCCTTAGGGATGGCTCCCTGTGGAGCCACATGAGGCACATTCGACTGAGAGGAGACCCCGGGGCAGACTCTGAACATGCTTATAGAGAAGAGGCTGAACATGCATGAAGAGCTAGGATGGCCTAAATGACAATATAACTTCCTGTGAGAAGATTGAGATCTAGCTACCTTGAAAAATGTTCTATACCTATATATTGTTATATAAATGTTTCTACTGAGGTAGCTTAACCCATTCTTTTGTTTTGTTTGAATGATGGAGAGCAATTTTGAAAGAGCCTTTCTAGGATTGTTGCATCTGTGTGATTATGTATCTTAATTTGCCAGGTATTTACTTTCCTGCATTAGCCAAACAGACAAACCAACATAGTGTACACATACATTGTGTCTCAATTGAGCTTTCTCAGCTGATATACTATAATATATGTATCCCTATTGCAATGGAACATTTTAAATTGTAAATGTACAGTCCAAGATGAATAGAAGTGTGGATGGCGGTGGGGTGATAATAGAACTTGTCATTTGCACTGAAGCCCTTTATGAGACATGCATTAGCTGCTGGCAGCACAGAACACGGATGCACCTCTGCTAATGAGAGCAGGGGAGAACTTTCAAAACTTTTCTAAAATATTACTATGATTCATTTCTGAAATAATCTGCCTGCTTGGATGACAATTTTTGTTTGTAATGCATGTAGCAACGACATACTACTTTACTCTGATGATAACAAAAAAAAAACCTTCATGTGGGAGGACAGTACAATTCTTTTATACTCTATAGAAAAGTATTTCATTATTTGCACAATCCAGTAGCTCTAGGCCTATTCACATGAATGATGTAAACTAAATGCTTTTTTGGATGCGTGTGTGTTCCTTTATTATCCTTGATATTACAAAAAATCGTATTGCCGTTTCATTTCAGAGTGATCAGCAAAATGGGCGACGGCAGTCAGGCAGGGAAATGAAATGTTACCATCAGGGAAAAGATTGTTCATTTGCTTTTTCATTTGAAAAACCGTAGTGCCAGTAGCTCTCTCCTCCCGTACTGTTAATGGTAGCCCTATATGCTGGAAGGCATTTCCCTCCTTCATCACCCAGGAGGACAGCTCCATGACTGCCTGAGGCTTACCTTGCTACAGAGAGGCTAGAAAAAGGTAGAGGAAGAAGCTGAGACTCAGATAGATGCAGCTGCTGGACTGATAACAAGCAGTTAGTGTGAAGTAGTTTACTTCTTCACAATTATATGAAATTATTAAAATTCCTATATACTGATAAAGAGCCAATGAATCTCAGCTGTTTCATGTGTGCACACATTTCCGTCTTTTTAGCTTGAGAGAGAGAGACACACAGTGACTCAGACTTTAGTTCAGTCTCTTATTTCATCTTGTACCGGAATCTATTTTGCCTTAGCAAGGGACTGTAAGGAAAAAAAAATTGTCAGGGAAAGAAATGATGAAAGGAATCCACAGATGTCCAGACAAAGGTCAACATATTTGGCTGTTGGCTCATCTAATACGGGTGTCACATGAAAAGTTCAAAACTTCGTCAAAAGTTGTCCAACTGGCCTGTGGCTCTGACATTTTGTCAACTGTTAAATCCATTGTGAGCAGGTTTTGAGTTTGCAATAAGAGAGGAAAAATACTGGCCCCAATAAAGAATGTGAAATCTCATATATTTTCTCAAGTTCTTCCTTGAGTAAAGACATACAACTTCAATTGTCAAACCATTTGGGTGATGCTCTAAAAGCAATGCACTGTAATTTGAACCCACTTGGTGAAAACTCCCCTTAGTCTTGTTTTGTAGAAATCTGTCAATTCTTTCAGAAGCTTAAACACACATCACTTTTAATTAACAAAGAGTGTTTCTACAGAATGTCAATAGGACTCTGTATGTAGCTCTGTATACAGAAAACAGACGGTTTTTAATGCGTGACATACCTAGAGAGAATTGGTGACTTACCACACAGTGATGTAGTCGTAGATTGGCTCAGTATTGATAACAGAGAAATTGATGGAGATGCCGTACCCAGGAGGCACTCTGACAGTCCACATGCAGTCCTGAAAGTGTGGATACTCAGCTGGGTGTCCCGGAGAGTAAATTGTGCCATTCATGGATGTTACATTCCCACCACAGAGAGCTGCAGGGAGGGAAAAATCAGAGATTCTGGATTTAAAAAAAGGCCTTTCTTGCTTTACCTCAAATCGTAAAACCAACCCGGTCTCACTCCCTGATAGTCCAATAGCGACGCTTGGTCAGGGACCTTTGGCGTGCAGTTGGAGAGTGGTCTGCCTGCAGGCCTCCACTCTCAGGACAGTTCCGGTGTAGGCTCCACTTTCAAGACACCTCCACTCTCAGTACAGGAAGTGACGATTCTGACGAACACGTTTGTTTCCCCACCCCCCGAAGGACTCGTCTGATGGAAGTTTTCAAATCACAATGGAGACTCATCACGGAGGTGATGAGTCCGCTCACCATGCACTTTGGGTCGGCCTTGGTCAAGCCCTTTTTCACCCCCCCATCCTGGTTCTCGTAAAAGTTGACTTATCAATTTTTCGCTCAAATGACACCATGGAGGAATGTAACGGGAGTTAACAGGGGACCCGCCTCACGAGTGCCTATTTTCCCCGCTTTTAGGCAATTTCACCCGGTTCCTTCTACCGGGGACACTGCCCGGTCTCGGGTTTCCCCCCACGGCCTGTGTCCAGCCGTATCCCCCCCCACTCTTCCATATATTAACGGATTTTGAAAGATTTTCTCCTCTCCTCTCACTGATCGAATGGCAAACGCGACCCACCATCGGAGGGCCTCCACGGGCCCGGCCTAGTGCCGGTGCTCTGGTAGTTC